TAGTACGCGGAGTAGCTGGGGAGTGGGAAGATGAGAACTGGCGACTTGGTAGTACAACTTGAGTACGCGGAGCATCTGGGGAGCTGGAAGATGAGAACTGGCGACTTGGTGGTACAACTTTAGTACGCGGAGTATCTGGGGAGCGGGAAGATGAGAACTGGTGACTTGGTAGTGCAATGACTTGGTAGTACAACTTTAGTACGCGGAGTATCCGGGGAGCTGGAAGATGAGAACTGGCGACTTGGTAGTACAACTTGAGCACGCGGAGTATCTGGGGAGTTGGAAGATGAGAACTGGCGACTTGGTAGTAGAACTTTAGTACGCGGAGCAATCTGTGGAGCTGGAAGATGAGAACTGGCGACTTTGTAGTACAACTTTAGTACGCTTCATTCCAGCTTGCTTTTTTCAGTGAGATTTCCTGGAGGCGTGCACGCTGCTTCTCCCCTTACCAGCGGCCCAAATGCTCACGACGATGAGCTGGGCTGTCACCGCTTGGCCGCCGGTGGGGGGTTTGGGAAGCCTGCGCGCTAATTCGTTCACTATATGTACAGTGAAGACCTTCACCAGCAGCAGACATGGACATACACACACACAGACAGGGACTCATACACACGCACATCACACACAGAGGCCCACGCACTGCCTCAACTTACTCGGACACACACACAGACAGAGACTCATATACACGCGGACATAGATACACACACACAGAGACCCACACACTACCTCAACTCACTCGACTTAACACTTCACACTGCACACTTAACAGATAACTCGCACTCTGACTTCCTACGTGATGAAAAATGCTTTCGGGCCACTCGTCGTCTAGTTTCTCTATTTTCCGACTATTTCTACTTCGGCATAAGAGTTCTCCGCAGAAGACTCTCAAAACCGTCGGGTCGTCCATTTTCTGGCTTTGCTCCAGGTACATGGCTGGCTGTTTGGAGATGCTTGGAGTGGCTCAGCGAGCATGGCGCAATGGAAAAGGGGCAAGCAAGAGCATACTGCAAGGGCCTTCCGTCAAAGCAAATCAGAAATTTGCAGCTGAGGTGCAAACTCTGCCAGACTATATGAACTTCCTTCACGATGAACGTTGCTGGGGTGTTGATTGTGGCAACAAGGCAGCGGTGGCATTCCATTCGTTGCTCTGCAGTTTTAGTCGGCTTCGGCTCTGTTTCGAATGAACCAATTTCAGAAATGACCGAAGAAGAAGTTCAGCCGTTGTTCCAAAGGCCCAGGGTCTTGACATGACGGCGACGTTGCTACGTGCATGCTGTCGGTGACGCTGTACTTTTGAAGTTGCGAAGTCGCCAGCTTTGTGCTCCATGCTGAGGTTCAAGCAGGTGAACCACTGGTATCGCTGCTACGAGTCTTCCAAATGAGGGCAGAGAAGCCGTGCGGTGAGGGGTTTGTTTCGTACAAGACATAATAGACTCATAGACTAATTATCATAGTCTCATATTGCAAAAGGAAGGGATGCAATTTGATGCAATAGTTACTATTGCTCATAGACTCTCATAGACTGATAGAGATAAGAACTTCTGCCTTCGAAAAGACAGACAAAGAAGCCGACTTCGTCTCCTCATGTCTCGTGCCGGGAGCAAGCTTGCCTGTGCTTTACTTGCCGCCCTCAGCAGTCGAGACGACTGATGCGTTTCAAGACGCAAATTACTGCGGCGCTTTCTTTCATGCTAAGGCTAATCAAGCAATCTTGCAAGGCTAAATAGTGTGTTGTCAAAGTCTACCAAAAGTAATCACGCTTTGGCGGTTGTGAAAACATACTACTTGATCGAATCCAGATGATGCAAATATGCGAAGCATGTGAACCTGATGCCTTGCAAAGAAGCTGGCGCTGGTATAGTAGTCACAAGCCAGCGAACTTGGTTCCAAGAACCAATTGTGTTTTGTCCCATTGCGTCGGTGGCTGAACATCTTGACGGCAAAAAATCTAGCTGTAGCTTTCAGGTACGAGAGCCAACAGAAAAGACAGACTGGCAGAGAGATGAGCAATTGGAAGAAGTGAACGGGCAGGGGCCGAAAGTGTGCTTCAGCCAGATGCAGTGGCCAATTCATCGAATTTTTGTGCAAGTCTGCATACTTTCGCAGAAGGCCCAAAGGGAAGTGGCGAGAAACCAACTTGTTCAAATAGGTTCAATCATGTAAACCTGTCGATAAAGCCATAAAACATATCCGATATATGATATATCCCTTTTCCTTCCCTGTTCTTTTTGGGCCATGTCGGCGAAGCCTAGCATCAGGCATAAAGTGTCAAGGCCTGATATCCAAAGTCGAATTGAAGGCCTATTTGGCGTTGCCCAGTTGGAAGTGTTGTGGTGTGATGTGTTGTGTAGTTTGGCGTTGACAATGTTCACCTTTTCCGCAGAAGATTTCACCACTGGGCGTTGGTTCATCGGAGCCGCTCGCCGAATTCGGAGACCAATCTCTCTGAAGCAGCCGAAGTCGACGCGTCACTTCGTCTGCTTCAAGGACCTGATGCCGCTCAGCGCTTGGGATTTAGCCAGATGTTCGGGCTCATTTTCGACAGTCGCCAGCCAAATCCCACTCTCCTAGTTGTTCCTTTAGCACTCGACCTCTGGCAATCAGAGTGGCGAAAAAGAAGCTGTGAATTAATCAGCTGCGACTGAGAGTTGAAGTCGAGTGACCTGAACGGGTGACAGTCAGTGTACCGAAGTCAACCGAGCAAATCCAAGTTTTTCGTTTTGTGATGCACTCCGCACACCTCTTCAATATTCAATGAACTCCCTGTTTGAAAGTTTGCCCTCTTCAGCTCATGGTCTTTTTTGGAAGTGTTGGCCTGCCTCTAGAGCGGATCGCAGGCTGATGTAGCTGGCCAGGTGGCTCTGGCACAAGGCAGAGCGGGACAGAGGGGCAGACAGAACTGGTTTGGGCTTTGCGGAGACGCCAAGACATGTTCAGAGCAACCTTATAGCGATGGCCCGCAACCTAAGAGCGATGGCCTCCAAACTTGTAGCCGTGGCCTCCAACCTAAAAGTGATGGCCTCCAAACTACCAGCGATGGCCTCCAACCCAATAGCGATGGCCTCCAACCTAGAAGCAATGGCCTCCAAACAAGACCTGTTCAGTATATTTCAGGATAGTATACCATAGTATACTGTTGAGCAAACCGATCGCACGCTCGTCAAGTTTGAGGTCCATGGCTTGAGGGTCTTCGTCACCATGTCTTGCAAATCTGGTAAAATAGTTTCTACGATGGTGCGGTCTTTCTTGGCAAAAATTACGCAAGGAGCCACTGCAGTTACTAAACATATACCGCCGTAGTGCTTCCAAATATGTTGACACCGTAATGGTTGGGGTTCAGAGGGTTGTCTAAAACAAAAGGTTCTGCCTGAAGACATTGAAAGGATTTGATGTCTCCCATGACAGCTGCCTTAAAAAGTTGATGTCCTCCACTGCAACTGTTTGTGCTACTGAATGCCTCGATGATTTTGGTTTCCAAACATTCTCCTGACTAAGAATAAGAAGTAGCAGCAGAAGATGCAGAATGAGAAGGAGAAACAGAAGCCGAAGTAATGTGCTTTGTTCATTCATTCTTCGCTACTAGGAGCAAGGACGCTACTAGGGGCTCCTGCCATCGCTATTAGGAGCAAGTTGTTCATTTTGTTCCCTACCGAGCCCTGATGGACCAGTCATTGCTGGTCGACGTCAGGGCCTCCTGCAATGCCTCAGCCGGGCGTCGCTTGGACACTCTCAGTTCAGCGAAGTTGGAGAGAAAACGTGTTAGAAGACGTTTTAACGAAGAAAGAGATCCAACCCAATCAAACTCTATAACATCCCGAACCTCTCAAATACTTCAAGTCATTCAATTTCTTGCACTTTTGCAGCAGTTGCTTCACTTGTTCATCGAAGACCAGCAACTTTCGACAAAATACAGCTCTTGCCAGGCCAACTTCCGCTCCTGGGTCGAGGCCTGGAATGGAAGCTTCAACTGGTCCATTTGCCCAGAGCAAGAAGCAGGATGTTTGATGCGACTCTGCAAAAACTAAGATTGTTCACCTTCAGATTTGGAACTTTCAGATTTGCTTTTGGGGTTTTGGCGTAGGGCCTCAGCTCTACCCACGTGGTATGCACTGCAACAGATCCCGACATTCGGCAGGTGGATTGAAGCTCTTGCAATTGGCTTTTTATCTTGAAATTTCTCAAAGTTTGTTTGCAAGTCATTTCAATCATCGTTTGTTGACCATTTACCGATATGTTTTGGACGATTTCTGCTATGACAGGCTTTTGCTCAGGAGTTGAGAATGGCCTAATGCTGAGAAGGGCAGTGACAGAGGCCATCGCTTCTAGGTTGGAGGCCATCGCTCTTAGGGGAGGCCATGGGAGGCCATCGCAATTAGGTTCCTTTTGCTACTAGGAGCAAGGGCGTCGCTACTAGGAGCAAGAAGATGCAAGAAGCTATTAGAATTAGAATTAGAATTGAAATTGCAAGAAGCCATGAGGGGCTCCTGGCCTTACTACTAGGAGCAAGGACGCTACTAGTAGCGTCCTTTTGCAATTAGGTTCCTTCAGCTGCAACACTCTAAGGCCGCGGCCTCCACGGCCGCCACCGCCGCGACGGCCTCCACGGCCGGCACGGCCCACACCTCAAGGACCTTTCGGATTCTTTGTTTCTAACAAGTGCCACGCTAGTAGTAACAAGTGCCTTACTAGTAGTAACAAACAGCTATTTGAATTAAAACTAAAATAAACTTTAATTCTTTGTTACTACTAGTAAGGCACCTGTTACTACTAGCGTGGCACTTGTTACTAATATCTTCTCACAAGTCCAGAATACGTTTTCTTGCTTTGAGTGATAGTGAGTGTCTTATTACTTTTTTTTTTTTTTTCACACACATATATATATATATACATATATATACATATATACATATATATTGTTAATCTCACCCTGGAGTTGAATGATCCTAACCTTGGGGAAACCCTGTCCTCTTGTCCAAGCGGCCTCGCTCTTTGTCGACGATGTTCGGTCCACCCACCCACCCTTTCGGTAGGTTCGATCAAAAGGTCGTCATGCGAGACATCTGATTGGTAAGCTTGTGAGCTTCACACACCCTTTACTCTTTTATTTTGTAAAAGACTGTCTCGCCGGTCCATGGGAAGGAAGTCTTTCGATGTGCACATGTTCCCACCCAGTAGCTGCGTTCTCCTGCACACCCCTGTTGGTAGGTGTCCCTAAAAACTTCGAGTTTTCTCAAGTCAACAGGACAGTCAACAACCCCGACAGGTGAAAACAACTGATATCTTGGTTTCACGTGCACCCGAATGAGTTCTCCCTTTGGACCCATTTTCCAAAAATCCTCCTCATGCATAGATTTGCCGATCTGTTCAGTCAACATGGCTTCTTCGGATGATCGAGTTGTTGTCGATCCATGCTGCTTGATCCATTTCAGTCGCTCCCGAGCAGTTAGCCGTTCTTTCAACGTGTGGCTTTCGTCCCGAAGGATGTATTTGCCAGTTCTTAAACACTCTCTCAAAGCACTGCTGTCCATTGTCTTCGTCAAGCAGTCGGCTAACATCGCTTGTGAGCAAACCCACCTGACGGTGGCATTATCACGAAGCCTCTCGCGAATCAGCAGACACTCTATAGTCGTCCGGTGTTCAGAACACTGTGGCAACGCTGTTCGTGTCAAAAGGTCGTAGGCCGATTTACAGTCGGTGACTAGGCCTGCTTGATTCTGACTCTTCAACAAAACCTCAGGATTTTTCCAATCACAGTCCGGGTCGAGGATTGTTGCCCACAGGATCCGGAGCCACAAAAGTCGGTCGACTGAATTGCTCAGTGCTGCTGCCTCTGCACCAAGTGTACTTCTGACAACTCTAGGAATCTTCTTACTATACCAGGCGACTGGAGCTACCACAGACCTCTTATTTTCCAAAAGTTCGGGTGTCGTGGCAAAGATTATGGTTCCTTGTTGTGCCGTGGTATGTTTGGTGCATGAAAAGGAGGCATCCGAGAATGCACAGTAGGTCACTCTCTCTGGCTGGATCGGTAACACCATCAATGAAACACGATTCTGCTTGGCCTCTGTCAGCACTTTGTTCCCCAAAACTAGATGTTTTACCTGTGCCCTAGTGACCTCACTCTGCAACTCTCCTACTTTGGCTGCTAGATCTGGCCTGCTATGTACTGCTGCATATTGGAGTGCTCCAATGAGGCTTCTGAAAGCGGTCCTTTCACCTTCTGAAATCAAGGATTCAGGATCTTCTTTGCGTCCCTTCCCAAGAGCTATGGGTTGTATCTTCTCGATGTAGGGGACCTGGTCGTACTCAATCGATCCATCATCCCACTGTCTAAAATGAATCCCGGTATAGGTGAATTCTCCTTCTTCAAAAGCCCCAAACT